GATATATACACCTATGCTAGTGTCTGTGACATATCCCTCATGACATTTCGTTGTCGTAAGTGTGGACACTAGATATACGAGAAAGGTAATCTGACTCTAGAGGGATTAGATTTACCATGAAAAAGTGCATATAGGTAAATCTAGGACATCTGTGGCATAATATTAAAATTCAAGCTACACGTGGTGATCCTATAAAAGTCTATGACTTGTGCTGATCCTATAAAAGGATTTCTAGTACAAGGACTCAAGTGAAGACGTCATGCCCACGCGGTCATGACGTCTTCAGTGGAGATGAAGAGACTAGACCCATGACATCCAATCCACCAAGTGTGAGTGTGAGATGTAGGAAAATGGGACAATCCACCCTTGGTGGATTGGATCTAAGCCCATTTGTATTGGGACTTTGATGCAAATAAATAGGAAATTTGGGTCTTAAGTGGTGAATGCGCCATTTTATATAAATTGCAAAAAAATATATATATAAAAAGAAAGGACGGTTATCTCTTAACCATAAGGAGGCAGTTTTACTTTCAAAACAAATTGAAGTTAATAAAATGGCCGAGTGCATCATTTTTGTATGGGTGTGTTTTGGTCTCCTCCTCCTGTTCTGACTAGGGCTGTATATGGGCAGGGCTGGGCAGGGCGAGACCCTTGCCCGATGCCCAGCTCGAAGAATGAATGAGCTGGAAAATACAGCCCGTTGCCCAGCCCTACCTATAAAAAGCCCTATTAAGTTTGGGCTGGGCAGGGCGGGCTTTCATGCCTAACAAGTTAATATACAACATTAATTAGCTAATTATTTATGTCCCTTTAAATAATCTAATGTAATTTTATATTAAAATAGCAACTTGGCCTTAATTTTGTTATTAATAATTAATATACTATGAAACTACTTTTTGTAGTAGCTAGGAGGAGTGGACTATGACCAAAAAAAATATTGTTTGTATATTTTATTAAACTTAATTGTTTTTCTAGTTTCTAACTCTTAAAATCATTCAAAAATAAATAAGTATAATGAATACTGAATATTGATGCAACAATATGTTTGATTCAGGAAATAAATATGAGGCAAATAAAATATATGTAAATAAAATTATATATATTATTGCGGGCAGGGCTGAATGGGCAGGGCAACATACCGTGCCCGATGCCCAGCCCTGCCCAACAATTTGCCTAACTCGAACATGCCCAATAGTTCTTTTGGGCCATTTTTTTTAGGGCAGGCTGGGCATTTTTTTGCAGGCTTGGGCAGGCATTGCGGGCAACTGGGCTTCATGAACACCCCTAGTTCTGACTTCTCTCCCTTCCACAAAAGAGTGCACTTGCTGTGTAATACTATCCGAGTTCGCTGTCGTAACTAGACCCCCGCGTGGCTATCTGAAGGTGTGGAACACTCCAGGTATGCTCGAAAATCATCATTTTGTTTGTCGAGAAGAAGGATAAGAGGTGATGGACATCAAGATGAAGTAGGAAAAGGAGATGGAAAGAAAAAAAAAATGAAGAGAGAGGAAGAAGCAGTATGAGAAGGAGAAGAAGGAGAGCAATGACGTATGTTTTGAAAGGCAAACTTGTTTTTCATATTTGCCTACCACTGGAAAATGGGCTCTCAAAAAAGGTAGGAACCGATTTTCTTTGATGTAGATGAAAATTGTCGCCCCCAGAAAATCTGTTATTAGAAAATTGTCCAATCAAACATATTGAGCCTATGAAAAATCTTGATTTTCCTTTTTGTGAGTCAGATTTTCAGCACACCAAACAACTCTATTTTCCTCTTGTTTTTTATATTTGTTGTCCAAAACAAATAAGCAATTGATTTTATAAAACGTCTATTTTTCCTATATAAAAACTTTTCCATCTTCTCAAAACATGAATTTAAATTCTTTACTACGAGTACAATTTTTTTCCCTCACTAGTGGGGATTTCTATCCTTATTCCTTAACTAGGCTTAAAGACGATATAGATGTAGTTTAAAGACGATATAGATTTAAAAGTTGGAAAGACTGAAGTCAAAAAGTTATTCTTTGCAAAGGATTATGAATTTTTGAAATTACTCTAAAAAATTAAGGTCCTTTTCTTTAAAAAAAGAATTTTTAATAATTAAAGTATCCTTACTTTCATTATTAAATTGGAAGAATGAGCATTTAGTATTTTGTAATATTTTTTCCAAGTAAGTCCAATATCCTAAAATATTTCATAATGCATCCAATATCTTTAAATATTATTTTCAAGTACATTTAATACTCTAAAATATTTTTTAACACAATTTTATGCTTAGTAATTTAAGATGCTAAATGCATTGAAAAAAAAATAGTTTAAGGTGTTGAATCCACCATGTGCAAAATATAATTTATGGCGTTGGACACAATTAAAAAAAAGTTCCTTAAAATACTGAACATACCATAAAATATTCAAAAATATCAGATATACTTAGAAAAATACTTCAAACTAAACCCTACTAAATTTGTAATATTTTGAGTGGTAAATTCTTATATTGAGACATCTACAGTATATACAAAATAAGCTTTAAGTATGGGGTGTGAACAGAAAATTGGTCAAAAGATTTATTCTCCTTGTTTGTTTTTCATTAAAAGACAATTTTATTCAAAGACAAGATTAAAAAAATTACATCCTAGAAAGGCCGGCCCATCACAGTGGGCATATTTGAGATCAGCCCAGAAACCCATGGAAAGAGGTCGGCCCAACAGAAAAATATAACAAACAAAATCTGGAAAAACAATGGAACAAGCCCAATACAAGATGCAACGATAAAAACCAGTTAAAACAAAAAGCCGGTGCGGACCATGCAGCGACAATTCCAGCAAGCTCGACCATGGAACCAGGCGGCACAAAGGCGAGAAATTGACATATTCCTCGCTCAAATGGACCAGCCGGAAACAACTTCTCGAATGAAGCTTCCTAGCGAGTAAGACATAGCAAAAGAAATGCTTCTGGTTAAGTACTCTTTGTGAAGAACACTACTAAGTGGGAATTCTTGTATTTCTGCTGCCCGTTAGTCATCACCCAATAGATAGAAACCGTATTAAATGAAGATACTCATATACATATTAGATATAAAACCTTTATAATAGTGTATTGTGGTGTAAATTACACTACAAAAATAGTCTTATATTTAGGATGAGAGGAGTATATTGATAAAGGATAATTTCATTAGTAACTAAGTTAAAATATATATATAAAAAAGACTTCAACAGCTAAAGTCAGGAAAATAGGCTAAGCTCGTCGGGTTAGCCCATTTAGGTCCAAAAATTGTGAAGGTCAGGCTTTGAAATTTTTCTCTTCAAATAGAAAACGGGTTTGAAAGGGCTGGCTCTGTAAGGCCCCGTTATATTTTTTTATTTTTTAAAATTTTTTGTAGAATTATCATATTATTAATTTTTTTACATTGTTAATGATATTTCAAATATTTAATTATTATTATCATTTTAAAATTAAATTTCACATAATGGTTTAATTTATTTGGTTTTAGACAATTATTTATCTGATTAAATTTTAAAAAATAGGTTAATTTGGATTTTAATAATGATTTGATTTATATTATATATATTGATATTTTAAAACTCTATATATTTGATAAGAGAGTATTTTTAAACTTATATAACTTGTGATGTGATTGTATATTTTAAATTAGAAATTTACGAGTTTCAATAATAATGCTTCTCAAACCAAAATAAAATAATAGTTAGACTGTGAAATTTAAAAGTGAAATTCCTATAAAAATGATATTTTTGCTATGAAAAAAGAGCACTTAATTATAGTGATGATAAAATTTTCAAAAATTAATGATAATGTTTCCCCATTACACATTTGTACTATTGATGAAATTTTTGGATGCTATTATTTTGTTGATAAATGTTTTAGATGTTCTTAGGTGTTGATAGATATTTAGATATCATAATATTTTGTATTTGTAACTTAATTTTATTTATAGTTATATCTTTTATTAATTATTTTATTGGTTTGTTTTTATTTTTTGATAAAAAATATGAGAAATATAAAAATAATATTTTTCTTTAAACTAGTTAAAAGCTCGTGGGTCGGCCCAAGCCTGTTAGATTAAGAGACGGGCTTAGCAAATTAGGATATTTTTAAAATTTCAACCATATAGGGATGACCTTTTTAAACCCGTCAGCCCTGTAGGACTGATCCTGTAGGACCAGGTCGGCCTGAATTCCCAGCTCTATATAAGATATTAGGAAAGGCAACTATGAAGCTCAGTAGTCGGTGGAAACAAAAACAAAGGCAATGAGAAACAAAAAGAGTTCGGATGCTACTATAGGTGTACACTTTAACCAGCCGCTAGAGAATAGCCCAAGGCGAGTCTCTCGTATTGCACCAAATAATCCAACGCCAAGCATCATCATATTGAAGGCTTTAACATTCTTGGGAAGAGTCTCGACAAACACGCCCGACATCTACACCATTTGAGGTCTTGAAAAGGAGGTTGGTGCTGATGCCATATCCTCACAATAGCAAAATAGAGCCAAGTTGACGATGGTCATGAAGCGGCAATAGTATTGAACAAAAATAAAAATAGAGCCAAGTTAACATATTAGGGAAGGCAAGACACTCGTATACATGTGCGTATATATATTAAAATAAAAATACACATATAATTTGAGACATTTAATAATTTTTTTCAGTCAAAAGACATTTAATAATGAAAAGATCCTAATTAAATTCAATTAAAATGCTTAAATCTAAATTGAGGCCTCTACCTTTAACAAATTTTTAATTAGGATATGAGACTTAATTAGAAATTTATGATATTAAATGAATTGAATGCCTCGCTTTAATCAAGAACGAAAATCGATTATTTTATCCTTCCTAAGTGATTAAAAAACATATAAATAATTTTTCGAGGTTTAAAATTTTTTTATCTGGAAACGGTGTAGTTTTGAGGGCAGAGGAGGCTGCGACTGTAGGAGACAACCTGTGTCTCCTTCCCCTGAACGCTGCCTTGTCCCTCAGTTCTCACGTAGCTTGTGGCGTCTCAGTGTGTGCTTAGGGGAACTCGCCTTGCTTGCAGCTGTTTCGCGGTGAGCTTCCATCACTTCATCTAAAACTGTGGCTGCACCCACATCAGCAGTGGGTTGTCGCTTAACTGGTTTCGCTGAGATAGTAAGGAGGTAGCGAACACAACTGAGGTTTCTGGCCTCGTTCAATTTTGGAGACTTCTCTTCAACCACCATATGCAAGCAAAACCCACAAGAGGTTTCTCTACGCGGTTTCAAGCTCTTCGACATTGGCTGCATAGCATAGGAATACCTTGAATCTTTATCATTTTCTTTCCCATAAGTCTGACGCTCTTTTGCCTCTTAGAGCTATCGTATATTGTTTGCCCAAAGCCCTATTAAAACCCCATTTCTGCTTTTGTTTCTTAGTAATTGACCCAAAAGGGGGTCCATTTTACAGTCATGGAGGAAGAGCGAGGAGTTTTGAACTTCCCGGTAAAAGTTTCTCATGAAGCTATACTGAAAGAATTGTTGCATAGAATCACTTCGATTGAGATTAAATTGTGCTCAGATGCTACAAAAGAATTTGTCAAGATATTAAAAGGTGATGATGGTGGGGAACTGCTTCGTCTGTATATTCGGGCTTCTCCCAAGTGCTCTGAACTTTTGGATGCTTGGAAGCTTAGGCAAGGGAGAGAGGGAATGTCATACATTTTTGAATTAATTGCCAATTTATTGAGTCATTATGAGGGGAAATATAAATCAAATGATCCGGAGCTAATAGCTATCAGTAGGGATCTTGATAAGTTTGCCCGATCCCTTGTTGCAGAATATCTAGGTGATGTTTACAAGGAACTGAATAGTAAAGAAGCTAAGCGCCAAAAGGCTGCTCTATTGCTGATGGCTTCAATTGTTCGCCGAGGCTCAAGTTTGGCTTCTGAGGTCTCAAAATGTTTTGACTTCAAACTTGCCGGGTTTAGCAAGCTTGCAGGGCAAAAATGGAAACAAAATGAGAAACTGATTAAGAATTCACTCAGGAAATCGTATGTTGGATTTGCAATGTCATTTTTAGAGGTTGGAAAGCCTGGATTGTTGAGGTGGGTTCTACAGCAAAAGGAAATGTATTCTGGAGTTCTTCGTGGGCTAGGAAATGATGATGATGAGACTGTCATTTATGTATTGTCGACATTAAAAGATAGAGTTCTTGTTGAAGAGTCATTGGTACCACCAGCTCTTCGGAGTGTTCTATTTGGAAATGTGACATTGGAGCAATTAATTAATATATCTGGAAGGGAAGGTGGTGGACCTACTTCAGAGCTAGCATATAATCTTCTAGTTCTGGTTTGTACTGATCCATGTAATGGTTTAATGCCAGACTTGACAAAACGTCCAACTCCATTGAGAGGTAATACTAAGAGAATCATGGGGCTTATGAAAAAACTACATGCTACTGAAATTCAATATCACAGAGATTTGCTGTTGGCTATTGTCAATGGCCAACATTCTTTTGGTTTGTCATATTTGGAAGAGTTTCCTTACAACCTTGAAGATTATATGTCACCTTCATGGTTAGAATTTATTTATATGGATTTTTATTGGTTTGATCTTCATCAGATATGTATGTTTTCTCATTCTTCTATTTATAAATTGTGCCTGACTTGTTTGCAGGTTTGCTGCAGTGTCTTTAGCAGCTAGCTTGGTTTCCATGATTGGCAATGGCCTTTCTAGGGAATTCCTTAATTCTCAGTCAAATGATCTACACATATTTGGCAACATGGATGTGCAAAGTGTTATGAAATGCATGTTTCCTCGTCCATTCAGCCGGTCAATGATTAATAAGGGATTACTTCACACTGATTTTCTGGTGAAACATGGAACACTGAGACTTCTTTTGGAGTTACTGAAGTTTTTGGACTCTCTTATTAGTGCATTGAACTTTAGGTCTTCTTCCTACAATCAATCAATGCAGCATATAATGCCTATCAAGCAAGAAATGCAGAACGATATTCAAGCATGGCTTCCTGATCCACAAGTTCTATTAACTTTACTTTCGTCTTTAGATAGCTTATCCAAAACAAATGATTCATGCTTGAAAAGAACTGGAAGCCATCTTAGACATAGAAGGAGCAAACTTTTAAAAACAGACACTGCTGAGAGGGACACAGATATAGTTGTGGGAGGGATAAGTTCTGTGTGTGATGTCCCTTTGTCTAAGAACGAGGTAAATGTCTCTGATGCAACAAGAGAAGGTGTATTAGATGATGAAGAGGATCCTGTCAGCATAGTGAGGCAAATCTGGGGGATGGAAATCTGCTCCATGATGATCACCACACCACAAGAAGCAGAGAATTACTTGCAATCTAAACTGTTCGATGCTCTCAAATACTTTCATGTATGTATAGTTTTCTGGAATTTTGTTTTGTTATACTTTGGGAGGTCAAATATTGTCGTGTATACCTTGTAGATATTATACTACTTTTGGTTCTAAATATAAATTTATTTTGTTGTGCAATTTGCTCCGCAAAATGGATCTTATATTTAGGATTGGAGGTAGTATAAGGAGAAACTTTTGGTTTTAAATTTAGGTACAGATTAGGTATTTTCTGTTTTATTTTGCCGGTACAAACATAATAAGCAGATGCCTTTTACGGCTCAACATCATAGCACTCAATCTTTCAAAAATTGTTTCCTCTGCATGTCATGTTTATGCAGATTTTCCTAGCAAAAACCTACCAAACTTTTATGCAAGTCTCGTTCTTCATCTAATGTAGCTTAGGCGTTTTGGATGATTGCTCTGATTTTTGAGGATTGTGGTTGGTGTCTAGAACATCAGATTGCTGGATCTTTCAATGACAAAAGGTTATGGTGCTAAATAATCTAACACTCAAAAGACTTAAGATGTGTTTTCGAATATTGCCTTATGCTCCATAATAGAGTTATTTCCTTTTTGTTGTAAACTTAAAATTAACATTTTCTTGCAAAGATTGCTTTGTTCATCCTCTTTTCCCTTTTCAGTCAGTTGCGTTGAATTAATGCTTTCTTTTGTTTTTACTTTAATCTGAAAATCTGCTAAACGTAACTGGTATCTGCAGCTATTCCAATGTACTAGAGCATTGATGTTTTCTCCTATGATGGTTTTGTTTTTTTTTAAATGGCATTCATATTCAGGTGTGTTGTATCGTATTTTTTGTTTCATTTTTTTGCATTACATCATTTGTTGCTTGGTTTCTCTATATAGTCTAATTATTGAGGGTATAGGGATGCATCTTATGCATTTTTGCGGTGTTTGAAAAATCTACAAATTGACTCAAAGACATTAGCATAAATTTGCTGCTTACAATTAGCAGTAAAATTGTACAAACTTGTATTCTTCCCTATTTATGCCATAGGGTGTCAACTAAGTGATTAGGTCTTTGGAATTTTAAGGCTAGCAACTTTAGCTTGTCAGTCTCATTTTAGGAATGGGCTCCTTTTCTTGATAGAATGGTGGTCACCGTCTTGTTGTGCCATCTGATATAAAACAAATTTTGCTGGAATGCTTGGTTTTCTTGATTATCAAATTTATTGAAATACATTTTTCTGAATTGTATGGTTAATGTGCATATGATGATGATCTCATGGTTTTTCATTGGCCTCATGCAGCGCATTGTGCCTTATGCATTGGGTGGATCATTTGAATTTTTTATTGGTCTTCTCAACAACCCATTGGAGTTAACAGTTGATCTACAGGCCTCACTATTGTCTTTGCTTATGGAATATGTTGAATGGCACCCAAATAGTGAAATTCCCTTGAGAACTCCACCGAATCTGTACAAATATCTGCAGTCCTTCATCAAACTATTAATATTCTCAACAGTTGATGATGTTAGGCATCAGGCTTATAGATTGGCAAAGGCTGCTATGTTCAGTACTGGTGCTTTTGACAGGAAGCTTCATGAAATAGAGGCATGGCTTTTGTTTTTGCCAGGTCATCAAAGAAATAAATCCTCTGTCAATAGCTTGGAGGTGGAAGTGTTACATAGTTTGTGTCCAATTGTCATATCATTCTTGTGCGATGCTGTTTCTACAGTTGGGAATAATTTAGTCAAATATTGGGATCTCCTCAAGAGTTATGTTCACAGTTTGGAAGCTGTTAGAGGTAATTAGTTATGTAAATTCATTATATTTGCATTGTTTACTGTTAATTCTGCCATATGATTTTTCTTTTCCTCTCTCTCGCTCAGCATCCAAGTATTAACTATTGATTATTAATGTGGCATGATAAATTTCAAATGACCAGTCTCTTTGAAGAACCCCTTGGCATTGATCTATGGTAAAATTTTGTAAAAGCTTATCATGGTGATGATACTTTGTGTTCTCTAAATTCATTATATTTTCCTTTTGCAAAAGTCACTTCTTTCATATGTACCAAAAAAGAAAAATCACTTTTTTCACTGATCCAAAAAAAAAAAAATGTTAATTACGATTCTTTACATATTGATATTATTTTAACTTTACCCTTTATTTCATTATTTAGTATTATTTTTAGTAATACTATATGATATTATATTTATATTTTTGAATATCAACTAATGGTTATTGTATTCAGTGTCCTTATTTTTATTAAGAAATATATTGGGATACTTTATTTTGGTGTTTATTGTCTCTATAATTAGGGCATATGTTTTATTATTCATTACTGGAGATGACTGATTTTATTATTTACTTTAATTTATGTATTTTATTTATTTCTATTGATTAATCTTGTGGTTTCTATTTGGTCAAGAGTAAGGGGGTGTTTAGTATCAAGTAAAAGTACCCAAAACAAGTGCTTTCACACAAGCTGAGAGAAAACTCCTCTCACATACTTTCTTCCTGTACTGTAAAATCATTTTAAAACTATGTTTTGGTTTCTGCCCAAACATCCATTAAAAGCTTCCTTCTCTTTGACCAAAAATAAAACAGCTCCCTGCTCGTAAAACTTAGGTAAATGTGGTTAAAAAGGAAATAATAAACGATTAAGGTATATTATGAGGACGGATAATTGTGGGTATGGATTTCTGGCCTGTTGTGATGTGTTTTTGTGCAAATAAATTTTGTATGTGCAAATAAAGGTTGGATTAAGCTCTTCCCAGAAATGATTTTTCTTTTTTTTTCCCCCTTGATGAAAGGTACAGGTTTGAATAAATTTTGGTGCAACATTGTTGGACAGGACAAATTTAAGCTCTTTACGTGCTGATCTAGTTGTTTATTTTGCAGATCTATCTCTTGATTTCAGTCCTCTTATAATATGTGTGCTGGAGAAATGTCTCAGATTGATCCGCTCTAAATCTGGAACCTACTCATTGCCTGAAAAATCAATGGTGTTATTATACATGTGCACTACAGTGAAGTTTCTCCTGCAGACACAGGCATGTGACTAGCTGGTGATTACTGTTTATCTCTTTTTGTTGTTTGTGCAATTCTAATGTTTGAATTGCTTTTATGATAGGTTGATGCAGAGTTCCTTTCTGGTGTACTTAATAAACAGTTGACCGAGAGACTTGGTGGCTGTGATGAAAATGAGGCAGTCTTGTGTGAGTGGAAGTCATTGAAGAATTTTTGGCTCTTTGTGCGGAGCATATCACAGCAACATGGTGGTTTTCAATTTTCATGTAATGAAAGATCTGTCAGTTCAAATAGTTCTTTTACGAGTACACTTGGTGAAGTAGAAAGATTATTAAGTAACAGAGGTGTTGGTGAAATGCCAGGCATCGCTATCGCTTTTATATCCTCTATTTTGTGTGTGGAAGTTGATGAAATATTGATGACGATGCCAAAGCTTGTGATTATTTCCCACAATCTGCAAAAGGTTCCTCTGTTATTCTTGTCTTCAGTGTTTTTTTTGGATCACAGTGCTCTTTTTCATGCTTTTGAGTTGTGGCCCCAAATGTTCTATGCTGGCCTGGACATGGCTGTCTCAGATCCTGGGGGTGATGGCAATAATGCTGCTCCTGATGGGTTAAGTTGTAACCAACTTTTTGATACAACCGCTGCTGATGCTGCAGCATTTAGCCTCTTCCTGAAACAGGTTCCTTTCCATCTGCTATTTCCCGCAATGATGTGTATGAATGGCTCTTGCTCATCAGAGCTATCTAAGATGCGGGAGCTGCTGTTGGATAAATTATCTGAGTGCACTAGCGATTGTTATCTCCTTTATCTGCGTCTTGTTCTCCATTGGACTCATCGAATTCAGTCATATCATAACTTGCACCCATCAGTTGAAATAGAACAACTTTCCAATATATGTGTTGTTCTTGTAAGGAAGTTATTATCACAGTTATTGGTTTCAGAATGCAGTCATGACTGTACTACAAATTCTGACTCTTGTTCATTAACTCACAAGATGCATGAAGTTGCTAAAATCATTTTTGCTCATCCTTCTGTTTTGATGTCATTGTCCTTTCCTTTGGGAAGTGTTCAGAACTTTGGAAGCAACACTGAGAACAGCTTTGATGGGCTAAATATATTATCCAGAGAGGAAGTTCACAGTTGTTGTAGTCCAATTATAAATATCTTGACAATAACTTTAGACTATGTGTGGTCCATCTCCAGTACTCACATTAGTGCATCAGAGGCCGGAGGTGTTACTTACAGAGAACTTGTTAAGTTGTTCAAGTCACTACAACATAGGTTGTTTCTGGAGGTCAAGGACAGATTTGATCAGTCTCTTTGTACGAAAAATACGACACATCTCCTGCAAACATTTTATACTTTACATGCCTTAGTTCGGTTTCTATCTCCTTTTCTGCTACTTGAATTGGTAGATTGGATGTTTAGTAGAGTTGAGTTAGATGACTTTACAGTTAAGAATTCTGCTTTATCTGTTGGGTGCTCCTTGGCTGCCGCTGCTTTCAGCACTTTGTCCTATTATCTCCAGCAGCAAGTTAGAGATATGATGCCATATGATTTATTTTGGGAGATCAGTGAAAAGAATATCAAGGCTCATATGTTTGAGAAGATCTACAGTCAAGTAGTTAATTTTGCCATGAGCTTTGAGATAGATTATGCAGATAAATGCTTGCTGGAAGCTGTCAGTGCTTTGTACAGGCATAGACACATTCAACAACAAAATTTTCATCCTCTGTTATTGGCTATGTGTAGGATCATAATGATTACTCCTGTGGAAATAATTTCTTGCTGCATTTACAAGACAGATATAAAGAAGGCAAAATTCTTATTTTTTCTCACTGAAATGAGTTCTCTGCATTCATCAATCTTTGGGCAATTATTTATGAAGCTACTGAGCAGAATTTTAGATCATGATATTGATCTAACAGGAAGATCCTTTGACCTTACTCCTTCAGAAGATCACTTTTTGCTGCTTCTTCCAGCCTCTTTGTCATACTTGAATTCAATTTCTCTGAGACTCGGGGAGCAGAGTCACAAAGATTTTAAACATTTACCGTACTTTTATTCAAGAATTCTCTTAAAAGGTTTCAGTCAGTGGAAGAGCTTTGTGTCTAAAGACATATTTGAGGAAGATTATGGAGAATTCATGCCATTATCTGTCAAGCAACTTCTTTGTCTTGTTGATCGTAGTCTTCTTGGAAAATCTCTTAAGATGTTGCAGTTTCACTTTGATCTTAATGTGGAATCAATGACACTGAACAAGCGATTCAAGCTATTTAAGCAAATTTATTCAAATTCTGCTTCACATGATGAGCTGCTTGACTGTAATTGCCAAGTAATTGGTTGTTATTCGCTGCACCAGTCTTTGAATATCATAAATCGAATAATTGCAAAGATATCACTTGGGAAAATATTATTATTTCATGAGAAAGTAGATATGGATCTTAAAGCTGTTTCTTCTGGCATGGGAAGCAAAATAGAAGCATCCAGGATTCGATTCATCAACATTTTAGTGGATGTTTGGCATTTTATTGTTATGAAATTTTCTTTAGCTTCTGATCAATATGTAACAAGAGAGAGCAGAAACATATCATCACTATATAATTACTTGGAAGTCTTTGTCTTGAGAAATATTCTTGAATTGATTGTGGAGATGCGTGATGATCTTATCCATCTGGAATCCATTCCTTTCCTCGAGCAATTATTCAGATCTGCACTTATGTATAGGTTTCATGATCCAAGTACGCTGAAAATTCTCCGAGTCCTGTTAACTCAGCTCTATAAGGGGAAGCTATCATATGGTTTATATCTTCAATTATTACTTGGTCACTCAGAGTTTTCCTCAACCATCCATTCAACAGGCAAGTTGTCCCATTCTTCTCCATCAGATTACTGTTTGAAGAGTGTATCTAGCATTTTGAAGTGTCTAGTCTTCCCTTCTACTGCTCACTGCGATTCTGATGAACCACATGATGAGAAAACAGCTGAACTCTCTAGCGGACGATTAGAAATTATCAAGTTACTTCGGATACTTTTATTGAAGAATGCTCATCAATCTGAATCAGGTCTTGGAAATGATAATGCCATAAATTATAAAGAATTGCATTCACTGCTATGTGATTCTTATGGCACAACACTTTCCCAGATTGACTTGGAGTTATGGAAGCTTATTCAGGAAATTGAGTATATCAGTAAATCAGTCTCTGATAGTATTGTTAATGCAGAGTGTCTGTGGGGAACTGCAGTGTTGAAAGTTAAAATAGGTCATCCTTTGGAGAAACAAACATCAAATATCAAGGTTGATTCGCAAGAAACCACAGAATGGTCCGCAAGCCAACTTAGAGAAAATATTCTGGTTGACCCTGACATATGCACATCAACAGTTCTCTTCTTTCCCTATGACAGAAGCACTAATGATGACCTACTGTCTGTGACAAATATTGAACCAGATAGTGTTAGGGAAAGGATTGAGGTATGTGTTCAAGTCATCTGTATCAATGTTCTATTTGAATAGTATGTCTTCCTGTGTTGCTGCCTCTACTTAACAAACTAATTCAAATCTTATGCAGATATATTCTTCTAATGCGCAAGTTAGAAAACAATATGATCCTTCATTCATATTGCATTTCTCAATTCATATATTGTCAAAAGGCCTTGTTGAACCTGTGGATTTTGCTACGTTAAGGTTGCTTGCAATTGCATTTGTTAGCATGTCTTCACCTTATCTCGGGATAAGAAAATTGGCTTATGAGACTCTGGGCATATTCAAGAATGCTTTGGAGGTTGGTAACAGGCTTGTATTTATTATTTCACCATCATATCATAGTTCTGTTTGCTTTTTTTAATCATCTCTTAATAGCTGTTGATATATTAAGATTAATATGTCCATGATATTGGTTGTTTGAGAGAAATTTAGTGGCCTTCATTAGTTACTCCCTCCGTGCCTTATTATAAGCAACATAAAAAGTTAGTTAAAGACAATAAATAGGTAAAAATTAGAAGTTCTTTCTCCAAAATACCCTCATTTATGGGGGAGAGAGTATAAGAAAGAGAATAAAAAAATTATTAGAACAAAGAGAATTATGAAAGAGAGAGAATGTGTGATGGAGAGAGATGATGGTTTAGGAAATGAGACAACAAATATATTGAATATTAAAATAAATAACTAATAGGAAAAATAGGAAATTTGATACAAAATTTAAGACAGCTTGCAAATGTTGCTTATATTTAGGGATAAACGAGGGATGGTAGTTGTTGCTTATAAAAAGGGACAGAGGGATTATTGTTTATACAATTGAGCTACAATTTGTGGGGATGAGCTTTTGCATGGCCCTATGGGTCTGGGGAAATACAAAATTTTCTTATAAAAAAGGATAAATGGATTGTAGTATGGAGCAGCTAACTGATGTTATATTAAATTGGTTGATGTTTGAATTTTGGTCCTTATTTTCTTTTCTTTTCTTTTTTTTGTTTTTAAACTGTTCTGAGCACGGTACCCATGCTTGATGTGGGATAACTATTCAGTTAGATTGAATTAGACATAAGTGTTGAGTGAAAATATTATGCAAGAATTGGGTTGCAGTTTTGAATCATGTCAAAATTGTGATTCTAATTTTTGATATGACTTATGTAAGCTCATGTGGGTGTCAATATGTGTTTAGAAGCAATAATTCTAAAATTGGCCTCTTCCTCTTAATGCTTACTCTGATGCCTTACACTTGATTGGCATCTCTATGCATAGGTCTAGAACTAAATAGTATTTACAATAGTGTCCTTAAAGCTTAGGATAATGTACGATAGTATCTTTGTGAGCTAACTTATGCCCAATAAACTCAAAAAAGAAGAAATAAAATACAACTTGGTAATTGTACACTACTCAATTATAGAGATAGTAAGACCCGAAGAAGTTTGTGAAGGCATCTTCTATTAATACTATATTATTGTTTTTTTTTTGTGTATTTTGTTTTGGGATTAAAGGAATAAAGGAGAACATAGGAATCCTTTGAAAGCAGTGGAAAAGGGTATTGAAGAAATACAACAAAAAGAAACCTTATCTCATTAGGTGGGGTCATTTGTATGAATTGCATGATGACGCTGTGCTCTATCAATAATGAAATCCTTAGGCAGGTTGTTGATCAAAAGGTCCCGTTCAATGATTCTCTTTGGTCTTCATTTGCTTCTTCTTAGAGGATTTCATATTGATACATGGGAATTAGGGGTAAAAAAGGTAGCTTGGATAATTTGGCATCATAATAGGTTTATAAATAGGGGGATTGTGGTTGTATTGTGTGCCTAGTGAATATACAAAATTTTATCGTTCTGATTCTCTCTGCATTTTACCTATGGTAGCCAGCCTGCCAATACTACCGGTAGCTGGAAAGTCAATCTTCATGGCTATTATGGAGTTGGGAAAACTAAAGCATGTTTCAACCGTGAAGGATTAGCAAAGCAATTTGTAGACCTTTTGCAAATCTGTTTGAGACCAATACCATCAAGCTGTTCATCTACAGCCTTCAACTGGGCATTCAGCATGTGGTTCAATGCGTTGGTCTCAACACTTGTTCCTCTGCCATTTGCCTCGCTGACATTTGCGAACAATATGGGCAGAACCCCCAAGATTTGGAGGAGAATGATGAAGATGGAGTTAAGAAAGATATGCAAGTACAAGAAACTAATTCTTGCATAAATAGAACAATTGAAGATGAACATGGATGAATCGAGCAAATGGAGATTCTAAGTAATGTAGGACTTGAAAGAATCAAGGAGGAATCTGGTGAGATTTTGCGGCTCACCCTTTTTGTTTTCACAGAGACGAAGGATGAACTTTTAGAAATAGGTAATGTTGATCCCCTGAAAGTGAATGATGTAATTGTAGACATTAAGATGACCTGAAGAAGCTAGATTGAAGAGATGGAGAATGATGGAGTAGCCAAGACATTGCATGATTCCTTGAAATCTTTTTTGTTTTCATATCATTACGCTATGATTGACATTAAGACTAAGGGAATGCGAGAGCACATTATTACCACGCCCAACTTCGCTTTTGAGTTGGCAACACAAGGTCATGCTATGTTACTTGGGTGGCTGCCAATCCACTCACTCTAGATGTTCTTACCATTTGCTAGACAATGGAGTTTTGACAATATCATCAAAGGAGGATTTATTGAGAGCGATAGAGGAGCATGGTCGCCCGTGAGTTTGTGGTTTTGTTGCTACATCTCTTTGCAAGGATGCTCATCAATGTCCACTTTGCACTCAATGAGCCGTCTAAAACATTCAATTGTGGGGCAAGACAGAATTCAGTCATCATACAAATATTGACCATTATTAGAGTAAATCAAAATCAAATTCAAGAAATGGGAAAGACTTAAAGAACAATGAGTGCAATAAATTGAAAAACAATGAGTGCAATGAATTGATGGTGAAGTCATCAAGCAACACAATGATATGGTGATCTAAGGTCCTATCGACAAAGAGTTGTAGAGAAGTGGTAGGAGCCAAATGAGGATGTGGAAGTTGACCAGCTTTACCATTGTGAGCAATCTTGGGATTTCATTGTGTTCACCACAGCTGCTTCTATTGTTCAAGAATTTGACCACGGTGCTGGAAAAAGAGTCACAATCAATGATTGCAAAGGTTGACCCACAAACAAATAAGCTTGGGGAAAACTCTATTTTTGGGTTCAGTAGGAATGCTGATGAAGATAGATCGGGCAAAGCTATTGAAGAGGCAATGCGTTTTTGGTCTTTGGGCATGCTTTTGGAATCTTCTTTGGCCACATATATGGAGTGGTCACACTGTTCAATAATGCTTCCAATGTGCATTGCGATTGTCTCGTGGCAGTAAACAAAACCCCCCTAGAATTAGGCTTGGCATAAGTGCATCTTCGCCATTTTATCTGAATAAAAATTTGGCTGTTCAAATACATATGGGTCCAACAATTTTTGAATGGATGTGGGTCGTACGTTGCTTGAAGTTTCAGCATTGGGCATCACTTAGGTTTACATGGAGTGTTACAATGGGCTTTTGGATTGAAGAAATATTGCAGCAAGCTAGGCATTGGGTGTCCATTAATTTTGTTTTCAAATGGTTTCTCTTTTTCAAGTCCTAGCAACTTATGTTCTGAAAAAAAGTCTCATCCTAAATATATGTTTCCATTTCAGCTTTTGTATTGATCTTTGAGGGCAAGAATCTTTGCTGGGGAGAGTATATTGATACATGGAAATTAGGGGTAAAAGGGGTAGTTTGGGTAATTTGGGTCATAATAGGTTTATAACTAGGGGGATTATGGCTGTATCGTGTGTCTAGTATATACAATATACATATTTTACTGTTTCAATTCTGTCCATTTTACCTCTAACACATGCTGTCTAATCTACCCTTCTTACTAGTGCCTCCAATGGCCTTCTCTATGCACACTTATACTCTCCAAACAATTTTCAACCATTGTCTCTTCAATGATGCCATGTCCCTTCTTTGGATATGATCATTTCAAATCTTATCCTTTTTTATATGACCAGACATCCATCTCAATATTCTCCTTCCCGCTACTCAACTTGGTGCTCTTGTTGTCCTTTTAGAGCTCAACATTCACTACTATATCCATATAGCATCGCCGGCCTTATAGCAGTTGATAAAATTTTCCGTCAAGCTTATTAGGTGACTTCTTATCACTGATAACTCCAGTAGCATTTCACCACTTGAACCACCTAGCTTGTATTACTAAAGAAATAAAGTAAAAGAAAAATGATGTTCACCCACAAAACAGTCTTATCCCCTTCTAAATCCACTGGAGTTAACCCCTGAAAAATGATCTAGGAAGAAGCCAAAAGTCTATTGTATCCCGGAAAATGTTCAATGGAAATGTCTTCTATTAGTTTATATAAAAACTGCAACCCTGAATAAAAAGCACACTGTGAATGGATCTTACAATTCTTTCTTGAACTTAGGTTATTACATATTATTTTGTTAATCGAGCATCTCCATGGCTTTTAAATTTTCCGTAATTTTTATTTTTATGAGCTAGTTGTTGATCAGTAACAATATGCTGTACAGAAGTGCCCAAAGAGGAAGGATGTGGTGGGACTTCGCCTTCTATTGACTACTGTGCAAAACAGTATAGAAGAGCCATGGCAACGAATCCCTTCAGTTATTGCTGTTTTTGTTGCTGAGGCATCTTGTATTTTGTTAGATTCTTCACATGATCATTTTGCGGTTATAAGTACATTGTTGATACACTCTTCTAAGTTGAATTTACAGGTATGTATTCAATGGCTTGACAATTTTCATAATCTTAGATTTAATTTTGTTTCGACTGACTGGTCTGAAATTTTCTGCTTTATATAGAAGAATAATCTGTTCTATGTTTCATCTGCTTTTAATGTCTAGGTTATACCTCTGTTCGATGATTTTTTGTGGAGTACTTCTGTTAATTTTAAAGCAGAAAGGTTATGGATACTTCGGCTAGTATACGCAGGGCTTAACTCTGATGATGATGCCGTGCTGTATATCAGGAACTCTATCCTTGAGAGTCTGCTGAGTTTTTATATGTCTCCGCTTTCAGATTTTGAATCAAAGGAGCTGGTTATCGAGGTGAATGATTTACTTGTTTGATAAAAAATTCCGTGGTAATTTCTATAATACTTTCGCTTGTAGAAGCAAAGCAACTTTTTTGTCTTAGAAAGTATTTTCTATTTACGGTAAGTTTTTCTCTTTACAGTAAGAGCTTCAGTTCCTTGTTCTAGTCTGTGAAGATTTTCATTTCACCAGGTTTACAAAATTGTTTGTTGGATCTGGAAAGTTGAAGACTTTTCTACGTAATGGTTAAAGATTGATTGGAGGCATGTTGCCTCTCTAATTCTATGAATATACATATTTTAATGTATTTGCTTTTCTGTTGAGCTTGCTTCATAATTTTGTTTCCATAATGGTTTTATATGTAGCTTAGGAGGTGAAGAGCATTGCTTCTTCATCTTTTGTTTGTATACTCGTTCTTTGCCCTTTTTTGTTGCTTGCCTGTGCGCTCTATGCGCATTGTTTATTCATGTTCAGTCAACACCCAAAAAAAAAAAAAAAGGGGGGGGGGGAGAAGAGGTGCAGATTGCTTCTATATGCGCATTTTCTTCAGAGCTAGTGTTGTTAAATTTTGTTGCTTAGGTTTTATCAATGTGTTTGATTGGTTGCTTCAAATTTGTTTTTCAACAGGGCAATGTCTATTTCCCTGAAAAATTTTCCTACTGGCAGATTGCACAAATGTAGTTGAATAGAACTCTAGGGTTTTCTCATATTAGAAGTGATTGCATACAAAAACTTCATGCATCTTGATATTGCTGTTGTAGGAAAGTTTGATAATCTATGAATCGCTAGATTTTGATTACTATAATATTTTTATTTACAGCTAGTCTTCTGTATTAGAAAACAAATCTGTCCCTACTTTGACAGCTATTCACAAAAATGTTGCGATTTAAGTTAATCCCAAATTTTCAGCACTTCCCAAGCTAGCTGGCTTATGATGTGAACTTGTCACTCCTTTATTTATAGGTGACTAAAACTGGATATGATTCTGGGAATAAAATCAATACATAAAAGGAAAAATAGAGTAAGACTAGATCAGCTTATGTGAAAGCCCGTAAGGTAGCAGCGAGGCCACTACCAACAAGAAGATTCAAATCTCTGTGCATATCTGTTATGGGTACTCCTTTTAAGGATCCATGTGCAGAATACCAGAGACTTGAGACCATAAAAGGACTCGTAATCTCTTCAGGGATAATTTTCTCCATATCCCATTATGTTATACTTATAGGTTAATGTTATCTTATTTTCTCTGCAGGTTATACAAAAGTCTGTCAAATTGCGTAAGATTGCTTGCCATCTAGTGAAACATTGTTCTCTTTTTTCATGGTTTTCATCTCTCATCTCAGTTACTGGAGAGAGGTTTAATGGTGGTAATGAAAGATTATTCTTGAAGCAAGTGTTGGCAATATTGAAGGTAAGTAATTGAACTCTCTTTCATTGCAGGATTTATTTCCAGTGTCTCTGATTTTAGTATTTTCTTTCGTTTTCCCTTTTGTGCAATTACCCATCATTTGACCTGTAAATGTTCTTCTTTCCTGGGCAAAATAATGCAGCGAACAAGAGATAGACAAGCCCATTATAATTTTGTCTTTTTTGAGAATCCTTGTTTTCCAACAATTCTGTAACAAAAGTAGTTTAGCATATGGTTGAATGAGCAACAAGAACTTCTAGCATTATTATTGATGAGATTATATTTTGTTATGCTTTATTTGATTTTACTAACTTGTCTAAAACATACCTGTGAGAATGCCAGCCTGCATAGGTTGCATCAACTGAATGAGTTTTGGTACATTATGTAGGGAAAAACTAGGTTTAAAGATACGATATCTTCCTATCTAAGTGAAATTCTCAAGAATCAGGAAAATAATAATTGAAACTGTATACAATTAAATAACAATATAGAAAGCAGAAGACTATTGCTGCATAGTGTACAGCTTCAACAATAACGCATTAAAAATCCGTTTGATTTTGCCTATCATAGAAATACATAATTACTGAGTATTCTCCAATGAAATAACAAAATTGAAAATCTCACATAAGGAGGAAGGCCATAATTTTTCTTTGTATGAGTTAACAAAGTGAGGAATGCTTAACACTCAAATGTTGTAAGTTTATAGCTCTATACTGCCTCTAAACCCGTGGGAAAGTATAGGAAAGCTCTGAGACTAAGTTTTCTCTGTTTCAACATGTTATTCATAGTGCAGAGAGTTATCGGACATAAGGGGATATTGACTACAGCCTTTAGACAATTAAATCTAAAGTAATTCTTATATCTGAAAGCTGTATCAGTAGAAATAGAGCTGAACAAATAAATAACATGAGTTGCTAGAAGTATGCAATATGATATGTTGGTTGCATGATAAGCCCATCAACAACTTACAAAAGTACGCTTCCTGGAAAGAGAGGACTGAATGAGTCAAATGAGTCTGAGGTTTTAATTTTCAACAGGAAACATCTTCTTTCAAGGTTTTGAAGGTGGCATAGAAAAGGGTTTCATGCATTTGTGTTGTAATGAAACGATGCTTTTGTAACTTCTTGGGCCCAAATGATGTTTTGGCATTTAAGAAGGAAAATAAGAGATTTTATTTGTTAGTTACAATAGATATTTTATTCTTACAGATAATTTGTTTGTCCTATAATTTTAAGAATATTCAGTTCTCCTCTTTACTTTTCTAATAAGTCGATTTATCGATGATCATATATAGTTATATGTATTTATATTCTTGCATCCTAAAATTTTAAAAATTGTATTTTACATATAATATCGTGTTGTATATGATACACACACCAATTTTGGTGCTACATAGGATCTAGTACAAAGCTTGGTATAACTTTTATACCTCACAAAGGTCTTAGATGAATCTTTCCTTGTATTTTACTTCTTTGACCTGAGATTTATCCGAAATGTAGAATTTAGATAGTATGATATGATTAGTTCTTGAAGCATCCTGTGCTTATTCAATTTCGTGGCACAAGTCTGTACTACAAAACATTAGGTGTTAATTTTTGTCTGCTTTTCTTTGTCAATTTTTTCTTATTTTTCTCCGTTTTCCTCTCAATTTTAATGATTTAGGTTGTCAACAATGTCATTTCTTGTGGAAGCATCTGGAAATGGTTGCAAAATTTTGCTCTTGAGCAGCTGGCAGAGCTTTCTTCTAATATATTTAATTACATATTCCATGATGCAACATTGATGAATGAAGCTGCTGCATTACTTAATCCTTTGCTACAAATGATAGTGTCGTTGTTGAAAATATCCCAAAAAAGGAAAATATGTCAACCACATTTTACCCTATCAATGGAGGGCTTATTTAAGATATACCAAGTTGTTCATCAGTTTGATCATGCACATGTCAATCCAGAGTTGGCACTTGAGGCTATACTTATGAATGCACCTCCTGTCTCCACTTTCCTGATGGTATTTATCTCTCCCTCTTGCTCGCTCTGTCTGCGCACCCTATTCTGTCTTATCATTTAAGGCATATATTTCTGTTTGCGTCTGATAGCAGAGATTATATTTAATTTCTCAGATGTTAACCATAATTTAACTGTGCATAATATGTAATCAATTTTAAACCAAAGTATCTGTGATTTATTGTTACTATGATAAAGTGGATGAAATCATATGTAACTTTACTGTTCATATTTATAGTAAATAAAAATATGGTTAGTTTCGATGATCTTCTTTTCTTTATTTATTAATTATTTTCCTTGAGCATGGGCTTTGGAAAATATTATTAGAATTTTGATTTATTTTCTACTCTAGGGTTGGCTTGTCATCTATTTCTATCTTTAGATCATGAAATTTTAGTGAGAAATGAGTCTATCATGCTGTAGACCAACGCCATGATGGAAGAATGGATCTTATGCTGATCAAGCCAAAGCTTAATATATGCCCATAATCATTAACCATAGGTTATAACTTCTCCTGATAATTATAGGCTCCTAATGAGCCGAGAACATGATTGATTGGTTTACCTTCTGCTTTGGCTTATATGTTAAATATTTTCTAAATTTTGTAACTTTATTTATTAATGTACCAGCTTCATGTTAGCATTCTGATGCATATGGAAGCGTTTCTTGATTTGCTTTCTTTCTCATTCAATTTGTGTTGACTGATTTGATTTTCGTGCTTTCTCTTCATTGGATGGGTATTTGCCCTATGTTTATGCAGAGTGAAGAAAGGCTTGAAAGCTTTCTTATGTGGGCAATTTCGAATGCTTTGCAATCAGAGTCTTCTCAAAAGCTAATATATAAGTCTCGAGCATATTCGATGGAGTCTGGTGAAGCGCCACATAAAAATCCGTTGATGTCAAGATTACTCCGTTGGTTAGCAGCATGGGTGATTACTGGGAAACTCTATCAGAGATCTGATTATATGGATGCCAAGGTTGAATCACAAACCTTTAATTCCCTCTACTCTCTACTGCGGCACATTGAAAAAATTTCTGGACAAAGAAATGAAATGACAATTGCTGGTGAGGGGTTATTAGCTTCTACAATTTTCTATCTCCAGCTGCTCCTTGGTGTCAATTATGAAGTGCTACCCTCAGTTGTGTCTGCTCTCTCTCTCCTACTTTTCAATGCCTCTGGTTCTGCAGGTATTCTATTTTATATATTCTAATGGTTTGTTGAGTGAACTAATGTTGCAATTTTTCTCAAACTAATCTGAGAAGTTCAAATTTTATATTCTGCTACCAACTTGGGCATTTAAGCTGGCAATTTTGTCCCCGCCCCCCCAAAAAAAAAACCCCAAAAACGGTTAGCATGTATTGCCGGACCCTGTGACTTTGGGAACAATTATTTGGGATATTTTCTTTTAATGGACTGAACTGAAGTCAAATTCCTTTGTTTCCTCATTTGATTTCTGTTTTGTGAGCCTTAACTTTTCATTCACCTGGCATGTCTGTTTGTTTATTTGGAAGAGGAGCCATTATTCCTTTTAAGGTTGATTGGCCGAAATTCTGTAGCCATTGTTTCTTCCTTCCAATAACGATTGAGCAAGAGTGACTTTTGTGGCATATGTTAGTAGAGCCTTTGAGACCATCATTTTATTCTATTGATGCTATCACTTGTATTTTCTGATGCAAGCTACTAGGATTTTTATGATGTTTGTTTAAGATTATTGTAGTTGCATGTTTGCTTTGGGATTTATGCATCTGGACACATACTAATGCCTTCTTTGTTTCTGTAGCGGGGAAAGCTGAGTTATTGCAAGACTATGATCCTCTGATATCATCGCTCTGTTCAAGGATACAATGTCCTCCGGAAGCTAATCCCGCTTGGAGATGGTAAATCTTCTTATTTATGCATCTGGACACATAATAATGCCTTTGATTTGTTCTGATATTACGTAGTAGTAGTAGGGCGCTGTATAATCAATAAGACGGTCAGTTTCTTAGCCACACCTGATGCCAAACAAGCTGAAAAATACCAATATCCAATTTGGAGTTTTTTTTATTGATGTCAAGGCATATTTGGCTTATTGATGATACAGGTCATTTTACCAGCCACGGAAGGATCCTTCGCTGGAGCAAACTGATGTGCAGATGATGGAGCAGCATCATGCTTGCCAAATTTTATTATTGATCATATCAAATGTTCTAGGCAGAAGGAAGTTAGAATCAGCTAATCTGTCACTCATAGATATAGAGAGGTCTGATGTATTTAAATGGGAAAGAAGTTTGCTTGAAACTGATTCTTCAAGTTAACGTGGTTGATAAATACTTTGTTGTACATTAATTTTGTATTTCTAGTGTATATAAATTCGTATATTTGAATGAATAGATGGAACACTATTTGATCTCTGTTCTTGCTATCTCCTTTCTCTCGTTTGTGCTTTTTGTTAGCTTTTTTCCCCCCTTTCTAAACTCTTATCCACTCGAACAATATAAGATTTGAAGAAGAAAATCACGGAGAGTTTTAAATAATTTCATAAATGTGAACCTGCAAGTACATTTAATCAATATTTTAGTGAGATAAGAACTTTTAGCAAAGGAAAAAAATGACAAAAAGAAATTGAAAATTGCAATATTTCAATTTAGGCACCTAACTAAAATCTCAAAAGAAGTGGTGTTTGATTTGGTATTTTACAAATATAACTAAACGACGAAAATGTCTTTGTATAAGATTTTCTAAAAAACAGATATTAAACTTGTCATTTTTTGTCATTGTTTGTTTAACACTTGTCATTACCAGTACATTTCTTATCATTTGCTATTTAACACTGGTTATTTTCAGTTTACAACTTATTAGTACAAAAACAGTTTTGTCATTTAACTATATTTGTAAAATATTAAATTAGGTATCACTTCCTCCTTTGTGATTTTGATATTTTAGGTGCCTGAATTAGAATATTGTAATTTTCAAATTCTTTTTATCTCATTTTCCCTTTAACAAATGGTTGTACTAATATTATGCTTGATTAGACTTTGCAAAAACTAATCATCGGATTGCTAGAAAAGATTCACAGAATTGACTTTGTAATTATTATTACTATTATCGAAAGGGATACATAACTTTTTTGGAGAAAATGACAGCAAAATATCATGTGAATTTCAAAAAGACAAATAAAGCACATAAATAAGTAAAATGACAAATAGGGCATTGGGTATCAATTTGGAATTTAGATTTTTGGCCTAATGACAAAATTGCCTTGTCTAAAAGTGAGAGAAAGCAAAGAGGAAGACGCTGATGAAACACGAGAAGAAGGAAAGAAGAATGTTGGAAATGCTATTATCTTACTCCTCCGCATCACTATTTTGTAGACATTGTTGATTTGGTGGGTTTTGGTTGTGGGAAAGAGGATTTGTGGTAAGAGAGGGAGTGAACCTGTAGGATTACGTGAGTGAGTAGAAGTTGATGGCGGGATTTGGATTATTCATTTTTGTGGCTGCTTCATGGTGAAATAGGAACAGGATTATTGCATTTGAGGGTTTATATTCAGTATTCGGTGAATGATGAAGCAGAAATCAGAAAACAGTGGTAAGCAATTACGTAATGTAACTGCTGTCATATGCCTACTGGTTTTTGGTAAATCCCATTACGTGAATGGTAGATTTTATTATACATGTAGTTAATTATGAAAGTTAATATATTGCCCTGTCTGAAAGAACTCATAATCCCTGAGATTGTTGTCGTCAAAGAGGTCGCTGAAGTAACATCAACTGTGATAAACAAGTAGGAAGCTTAAATATTATTCTTCATAGAGCATTTTCGATGGGTTCCCACAGCTTAAAATATTATTGCCTAGCATTCATCTTTTTGGTTCTGTCTCTGTTCTTCGCATAAAACCATTTTCAGAGAATGTGAAGCTGTCTGGTTTTCTATTATTATTAAACCATTTGTCCTGAATTTTACAAAACACATATTGTGATTTACAACTTTCATAGTGAAAGTGACCACTTTGTTAATGGGTTTTGCAACTTGTTTTCAGGAGATAAACAACTTGTTTGTAAAAACTAATAAAATTCCATGCTAAATTTGACAAAACATATAGTGGGATTTACAACTTCCGTAGTGAAAATGACCACTTATTCAATGGATTTTGCAACTTGTTTTCAGCGGATGGGCAACTTGTTTCTAAAAACTAATAAAATTTCACGCTAAATTTGACAAAACACATAGTGAGATTTACAACTTTCGTAGTGAAAATGATCACTTCTTCAATGGGTTTTGCAACATGTTTTCAAGGGATTGACAACTTATTTTTAAAAACCAATAAAATTCCATGCTGAATTTTATAAAACATATAGTGACATTTACAACTTTTGTAGTGAAAATTACCACTTCTTAAATGGGTTTTGCAACCTCTTTTCAAGGAATGAGCAACTTGTTTCTAAAAATAAATAAAATTTCATTCTGAATTTTACAAAACACAGTGAGATTTACAACTTCTATAGTGAAAATGACTATTTCTTAAATGGTTTTTGCAACCAGTTTTTAGAGGATAGGCAACTTGTTTCTAAAAACCAATAAAATTTCACGTTAAATTTTACAAAACATATATTGGGATTTACAACTTTTGTAGTGAAAGTGACCGCTTTGTTAATAGGTTTTACAACATATTTTTGGGGATGAGTAACTTACTTTTCACCACCAATAAAATTCCACGTTGAATTTTACAAAACACATAATGTGATTTACAACTTTTATAGTGAAAGTGACCACTTCTTCAATGGGTTTTGTAAACATGTTTTCACCGGAAAGGCAACTTGTAAATATAAATAAATCATTCAGTAAACGTGCACTTGAAGTACGTCACAATTAACTACATGTATAATAAAATCTACCATTCATGTAATGGGATTTACCAAAAACCAGCAGGCATATGACAGCAATTACATTACGTAATTGCTTGCTACTGTTTTCTGATTTTTACTGCATCATTCACCGAATACTGAATATAAACCCTCAAATGCAATAATCTTGTTCTTATTTCACCATGAAGTAGCCACAAAAATGAATAATCCAAATCCCGCCATCAACTTCTACTCACTCAGGTAATCCTATAGGTTCACTTCTTCTCTTACTACAAATCCTCTTTCCCACAACCAAAACCCACTAAATCAACAATATCTACAGAATAGTGATGCGGAGGAGTAAGATAATAGCATTTCCAACATTCTTCTTTCCTTCTTCTCGTGTTTCATCAGCGTCTTCCTCTTTCCTTTCTCTCACTTTCAGACAAGGCAATTTGGTCATTAGGCTAAAAATCTAAATTCCAAATTGGTACCCAGTGCTCTATTTGTTATTTTGCTTATTCAAGTGCCTTATTTGTCTTTTTGAGATTCACATGGTATTTTGTTGTCATTTTCCCATTTTTTTGTCTCTTGTCTTGTAATTTTTCTGCAAAAACTAAAATCCTAATATTGTGGAATTAAAAATTTTATTGCTAAAAAATATTGATTTTTTCCTTGAAGATGAATGATGATAATTATTCTGAAAATTTTTTGTTCATGCATGCCTACTATTTTTCATCTGTGTCATTTTTTTGGTGTTGAATACTAAAAAAAATTTGGACCGAACTGGCAAACCAGCCAGTGGTCCAGTTTGTTTAAGTGCTAAATCAGCTATAAATTGAACTGGTATCAAACAGGTCAAATTGAGGTGAACCAGTGATGAACCGGTTTAGATGATTATGTTACTATTGGTTTTATTTTTTCTTATTCAACTCTTAATATCTTGGTCACTATAGATTTGAATAAATTTTAATAATGATTTTAGTATCAATGATTAATCATTTTAGTTATTGAAGAATAGTGAAGATAAAATTCTCAATGTTGTTATATTTTGTTATTAGTTATTATTATTATGTTGTTATATTTTGTTATTTGTAATTAAATGATATTATAAAAAATATTTTATGCATCCATAAAATACTTTAGGATGTCGGGCATATGTGACAAAATACATCAGGGTGCTGGATTTACCTTAATCCTAAGACTAGTCCAATCCCAAGTTGATCTCAGTCTAACCTATTAATCTTTGAACCACCACCTCAACTGGATTAGGGTTCATTACAGTTTTTTGTTCCTTTGTTTTTGGACATTAAGTCCTAAAATTCATGTTATAGACCAAGAGATTAGCATCATCGTGCAAAGGAAGAGAAAATTGGAATATGATGTGACATCTCAATTTTTCGTCTTTATGATTTAAGGAATATTAGGAATGAATCATTTCTTGGTAAATGAAATTTACCACATAATTATTTTAGTAAAGAGAATTTACTTCAAATAGGTTAAATTTAAGAGTATAAATATAATCTCAAGCCACGATGGTAAATGGAGCTAAATAGAAATATATAAATTCATCTTGCATTTAAAAGATTTTAAGGCTACGATGAAAAAACACTTTTTGATGAGAAGTCTTATCCTATATCGTCTTGGAATCTATTAAAAAAATGTGTCAAATTGCAAGGATTACGGTATAATAATGCAACTCAAGGCATGTTCACTTTTAGGAGCTTTTATTGGTGATTTAAAATAGACTAAATACCATGAAACACAATAAAATGAAGTTTTTTGTTTAGAAAATCAAATTAAACTATAATTAAATTAATGTAATGAAATTAAACTTAACATATTAGAAGTAACTTCTAGTTAAAGGGTTGGCATATTACTTAACTTTTACTTAACAATCAAATGGAAACACGTGTATTTTACTGTTTTTTATAATCTTAATTTTCGTTGCAACTGGCTCATTAATTTCTTTCATTTAAGTTGGACTATGTGTATTTTTACAATTTCAACTTCTGAGAAAAAAAATGTATATTACATCTGCTGTAATTTGATTGAAAGAATACACATGCGTATAAAACTTTTGAATCCATTTGTTTTATGATTTGAAAAATACATTCTCCTCAAATAAAATTGAAGAGCAGCAACCTTTTAATAAAGATAAGCTGAAAATAAATATATTGATACAGTAGTTCAGTAATTTACAATATTTTTAACTTATATGAAAAATATTTAAAATTTTTTTTACTCCAAACACAAAAATGATAAAAGTATTAATATGATAGATGCATATGTGGGATTAGCATGACAAATTAAATTGAAGTATTGATTATAAATATCATTATTTATAAAAATTCATCATATTCTTTTAAAATATGATAAGAACTCATTGTATAACATCTGCTGAATCAGTTAAAATAGTAAATGGAACAATTATCAAATTTAAAATTTCAAAAAAGAAATTAGAAAAAATTAAAGAGATTAAAAAGTTATAGAAAAGGAGAATGAACATCCGTCTTATCACCTGGGTTGTGAATTTTTCAACTAAAAATATTTGCTCTAATGAATCTGATAATATCAA